ACGGTGCTAAGCTTTGGGGGTTGTTTTCTTGGTCATCCTCTAAGTGCAACACTGACTGCCCTGAAATGCATTTTAGAAGTTTCTGAAGTAAGGTAGAAATAGATCTAACCATAGTTTAGATTTTTTCTTCTAAAAGTAGGCACATAATTGCACGTTCTGAGCTTCCTGTTTCCTTGAGCAATAGAAATTTCTGGATCAAAGTATGGCATTTAGCCATGTAGTTCACTAGATGCAGTACATCCAACATTGCCTAACAAGACTGATCTTTTGTATGGCAACATTGCTAAATATAACTCAGCTTCTGTTGGTCTCCACAGGACAACACAAGTAGCTCCATAAAGCTGGATATAAAAACCAAAGAGGCAGAGAAAACAGACTTGACAAGAGAGCATATCGCTCTCCAGGCCTATCCTCAAAAGGGAAGAGAGTGGGATACCCTGTGAGAGTATGTCAAGATACAGAAGTCAAACCACACACTCATTGCAGGCATTTTGGCAGCTCAGTTTTTAACAACTCCTGGGAGGGTGGCATCCCCACGTCAACCTCTCTGTCCCAGGCGAGGGGCAGAGGATGGCAGGAGATGACCCCTCTGCTCAGGGGTGGCTACACTGCCTGCAGCCCTTCTCCCTGGGCTGAGACATCTCCAGTGTGCTGAGACATCTCCAGTGCCCTGTGGAGGGAGAGGGAAAGGGACCAGCATCCGCCTGGATCAATGGAGTCAACCTCCAGGATGGATGTCTGCACCTGAGCTGCTCAGGCTGGGCTCTCCTTGCAGCCTGCAGACATACAGTCAATATAACTAATCAGGCTAAACTCTCTTTCATCTCATCCTGGAATCAATGCCTAAAATTGTTCAGAAGAAGGAAACACTGGACATGCATTTATTTCTTGAGTGACATTATAGAGAAGTAAAAGGGTCTGGGCTCCTCTGTCCCCTATGAGGGAGTTCAGGTCAGCTGTAGATGCGTATATTGTGGATGTCTTGAGATATCTGAGACAAGTGTGATGCCAAATGCTTTGTGCAGCTATAGCTTAAGGACCTCCTGATCACCACACACAGATTTAAATCAGACACCCTTTTTCTAGCTGAGACAGCCAAGAATCGAGCAAAGGAATGCAGAGGGCTTGGCACAGGATCCACAGGCTTAAAACAGTCCACACTAGGGATTCCTCAAAAAATAAGAGGAGAGTCTTTGTTTTTTTCTGGAGAATATGGAAATCAAAGCACAGGGATTGCTCTTCCTCTCCCTGGTTTTGCAGCAAAGTAGGAGATAGAGGGGGAAAAAAAGGAGTTTATTTCTGTAGGCCACAATTTAGTCAATATATTGAACCTGAAGCCCAGCTGACTGGACTCTATAGGGGTAAACCACATATGAAACAACCAGCATTTGTTTGGATACTTACTTTGTTTTCTGAGGACTGAATTTGCATTGCCTTAGTCCTCAGCTCCTTTCTGTCTGGCTCAGACTGTAGCTTGCTAACCCCCACATCACACACCCCTCAAGGCCTCTTCTGATTCATTATCAGGTTGGGGAGAATCTGAGATGTAGAAATTAGCCCACAGTGCATTAAGTGAGTTTCGTACATAAAACATGGTGCATTAAGGCTTTTTACTGTGTCACTGGTTTCTAAAAGCAGCTTAACCAAATCTCAAAACCACTTCACATATTTTCAGTAGGAAATCATAAATCTTCCCCGTCATTTTGGCAGGCCTCTTCCTTCTCTGCCCTCCCATGAAATTCAGTCTGCTAAGCTGATTTCCATAATTCCTTTCACTGAGAATCTGTCTTGCTACCGTCACTGGTTTCATATATTTGGCCATCCCACGGTGAAAGGGAGCAGGCAGGATGTTTTTTTCCTCCCTGCAAATATAGAGCATTTATGCCAGTGTTGGAGGAGAAGCATCACGTCCTCTTGCAGCATCCCTCAGGGCCGAGGGCTCCTTGGAAGGCACATATTGCACATCACATGTGATCTCCGGGGAATGAACCTGCTGGTGCTTTCCCTCACTCTTGGTCAATCCCGTTCAGTGAATTCGCGGCATCTCCTTTGCGCCGGGGTTGACAGGGGCAGCACTGACTGTAAAACGTGAGGATCAGCCCTCTGCCCCTTTCCCTTCTTGTCGATAGTGGGAACAGCCCGGCGCTGAGATCTGCTGGTTCTCCACGAGATGGTGGTAGATGCAAAGCGTTGGGCTGGAGCTGCCTGCGAGCGCCCGCTGCCCTTCCTTCCCCGAGCCAGACATATCCCAAGCCGTACCCCAGCCCTGCCCTCCCCGAGCCAGCCGCTGCACATGGGGCTTGTTTGGGCAAAGCAGGATTATCTGCAAAGGGCAGGCAGAGAGAGTTCGTCTTACAGCCCAGGCTGCCCAGCGCTCCGGCACAGGACTCCTTAGGGAACATCTGTCCTACAGAAACTGCCTTCTTAATATGCATTGGCTACCTCAGGGTAGCCACCACATTACAAAAGCTGTGCAAGCAGGACAGCTCAGGTTTGAGGCTTCATTATAAACCACACAGAAAGAGCTGGGATTGACTTTTTCTCTGCAATGAAAACCAGTATGTTCCTTCTGTATTTGCAGTTCAATGTGGAAAAACATTAGATAATGGAAAGAAAAAGCTACCATTCTTATGCCCAAACACATATTCATTCCTCTGTATGTTGGTGTGCTTGCTGTGGGCATGCGAGGCACGTGCTGGCCAGAGTGCTAGGGCAGATGCCAGGAGATGCACTGCCACAGTCCTGGAGTGTGCTTGGCACCAACACGTGCTTGCTGCTCAATAGTAACTACCCCTTACAACCTCGACCCAATGGCTTATAAACTGTAATATCTCTTCCTATTCTTCAATGTAGTTCAATGCAAGAGCTTCTCCCAGGTAAGAATTTGGTGTGAAATGTTTCCATAAGAATCAGATAACCCATATCACTGCAGAGGTCCTGGAGATGGGGAGCAGGATCAGATGGGACATCCAGCCCCAAGTTCCTGCCTCCAAAGGAGGCTGAGCTTGCAGGGACAGGGTGTCACCTGCTGCTGACTGTGGCTTTCTGAGAGGACAGGTGAGTTTGAGTTCATTTGCACAGGGAAGAGTAGCTGGTACCCCAATGCTCATCACTGCAGTCTGCTCAATGATGACATCAGAGATGACCCAAAGGAAAAGTACAAAAAGGAGGGAGCCCCACAGGACTGTGGTAGCCAAGTGCCTCGGGAGTGGATATGAGCAAGGGGAGGCTTGTGTCAGGCAACCTGTAAGACAGCATGCACACCACACGTGTCAGCTGGGCCCAAATTCTGGGGTTTAATCCAAGATGCTGGCTGAGCTGCTGCTGTTGTGAACAAATTAGATCTTAACCAACACTGGACAAGCCTCTCAGCTCATAGTTGCCTCCTGACCGAGATCTCTGCTGTTTGTGTGAAGCTGCTCCTTGGCTCTGCTCCTGTGCAAACTCAACAGAGTGACTTAGGTGGCAGGTGGTGTAAGAGGAACTCTTGGATCCAGAACAGAGGACAGGAGGCTTGGCAGAGTACTGGGGTCTTACAGCCCTGCCTCTCACAACCAACTCGCACAGCAGGAAGACACAAATTTCAGCTGCCCTGGCAGGCCAGCTTGTCTGAGGGGCTACAGGGGATGCTGAAACCCCCCAAAAATAAACCTGAACATGCAAGCTACGTGTCTGTTGCTAACACATAGTACTGGCATACTGTATGACTGAGGAACTGTGTGCTGTTGCATCTGCTTCATGAAAAGAATCGCTTCTCTTTTAAATTAAAGCGTGCATTCTTTCCTGCAGCATCAAATCTCATGTTTCTTTTCTAACGCATTTTATAATCAAACTGTCAAAATTCTTCCAGGCAGAAGTTAGTAATATCAGCCAGGCAGTTTGGTTATAGCAACACTGACCTCACCTGGGTGGCAGGACCGATTCTGAGCACATTGGTGTTGGATGATACTCAGGAGCCGCTGTTAGAAACTGATACTGAGTGAACAAAACACAGTCTTTGCTTACACGAGGAAACAAAACACTTAAGATATTCTGTACATGCCTTAGCTACTCTCTGCTTTAGTCCTCCGATTCAGTTAAACCTTTGTAATCTTATTTGTATAGCCAAGCTGTCTTGGCATGTTACTGGGTTTGGCTCAAGTAGCCAAACTTTATTACACAGAAAGCAAATCTGAGATATGTGCAGCCATAAAACAGATTCACAGAAGTCACCCAGTTAAAAACAAAGACTCATCCAAACCACAACCAATCCCACATTGATCCTTGAGTCTAAATTTTCTCAGAGTTCAAGGCTGAGGGAAGGAAAGATGCAAGCTACATACATAGCTGGTAGTGCAACCTAAGTTTTTGGACTGCCTAATGCATCTTGTCCTCTCAATCCTGGGTTTATTTATTATTTATACATATTTATTTTTATTATTTTTTACCTTTGCCCAATTAGCAAAAAGCTAGTTAGCAAAAAATTAATTGCCCAATTAGCAAAAAGCCAGAGCTTTGCTTGCCAGGTGTGTCTCACAGGCTAGGTTTTCTTCAAAGTTTTCAGCCCAAACAGTTCATGTGTCTAAGAGCACCTTTTTTCCTTAATGTAATCATGGCCAGGTTCAAGACAAGCAAAAGCCTACATCCGCCTCCCAATACTCTGGCAATCTTTGAAAAGCTGTGGTGCTTTTTTTTTTATTGGAAGAGGGACTTGGAACTGGACAAAACAGTAACCTTACTGCTGAAATGGACTTTTTCTAGTCTCTCTGAAAATTTGGCCAATTCACAGGGCTTTGGATAAAAACCAAGCCAGCTGCAGTTCACATGTGCTCATCAGAAGCCAGTTAGAGATTGCAGGCTTCGTTCTCTGGTGAGTTCATGAGCATGGGAAATGCTCTAGGGCATGGAGTGGGACTTCCCTAGAACTTGCATTTTCTAACTGCTTCAGGCCAGAGCAACTCTAAATCCAGATACTTGAAAGTATGGATTTTTAGTTGTTTTTTCAAACTGCTTGTTTCCAGGCTACATGAAGTGACTGCATTCAGAGGAGGTGAGACATGCAAGAGGAGGAGATAACTTGGAAAAGTAGACTTGGAACAGACAAAAGGAATCCTGGCAGAGAACTGGGGGGACATGAAGTATGTGAAGACTGGGGTGGAAATCAAAAGATGAGGAGGACACTGAAGCACAGCAAAGAATGAAGGCAACTGGGAAGTAGCATATGGGGAAAGGATGTGAAGGAACTCATTTTAGCCTCTCTTTGCACATTATTCTGAGCTCACTTAAGAACACTTGAGCTCACTCAGAAGGCCTTCCCATTTATTACTGACTCTATATTAAATAAACCTGCCTATGAAGACAGAATTACACATTTCCTTCTGACACTGTCATGGTGAAGGTTATAAAAAAAGCACCAAAACTTCACAAAATAAAGTATTTGTTGAACACCCCTAAAATGCAAGGAACAGCATTGCCATCATATTACAAACAGAAAACCAGAGCCTGGAAATATTTCCTGATTATTCAATCCAAGAAGTACATTTGTTGTACCAGGAGACTGCTCTATAGTGGTGTGTGCATATTCTTTATATGTTCCTATTGCCTTCTGCAGCAGCAGCAAGTCCTAAATTCTTCTGTAAGCTATGCTTTATTTAGTTAGGCATCTAAGGAATAAGGGATGCAAAACTTCACCTCCATGCGTGTGGAAGGATTTGGCCTGAGCTGAGGAAGAGGGGAGGGATGAGAACCTGCAACGTGGCAGACCCTTACCCAATTATTCTATGGCATCATTTGATACTAAAGTTACTCCAAACTTTGAGGGTTCAGGAGCAGTCTTTCCTTTCCAGGATGTCATATAATTTCGAGAGGGTTTTTCTTTTAAAGCTTAAAATTTGTCCTACTATCAAAAAAGGAATCTGAAGTCCCCATTTACTTCAGCTGAGCGTGGTGTGGCCCCTGGAGCTGCTGCCTCTGCCATGCACACGCTGTAAACCCTTTGGTGCTGCCAGTGCCCACTGCTTGCGCTTGAGATTCTGTCTTCAAACAGGCACTTTGTGGTCTCACTGTGACAGCAGCTCCCTGGTTTGCCTTGAGTTCCCTTTTCTGGCTTCTGCAGAGCTGGTTGATGGACCACCTAGGCTTTATCACTGTGGCCAGCATCCTCAGTGACAGTACATGTCCCAGTTCACACCTTTGCTTTCATACATGTTGTGCTGTCAAGAATAATTGTTAGTTTTAAACCAGCACCGAAAGCAGCAACAGGCATTCCAAAGGGATGCACAGGATGAGCTAGTGACAGCAGCCACTTGGCATTTCCAATCCTGTGGTGCAAAAGGGGATGTGTTCTAAGTATTTTGACTTCTTGAATCTCTCGTGGTTTTGTCAGGAATACAATTGACATATCAGGATATGTACGCACAATCTCTTATTACTGTTTAAACTTAGAAAACAATACCATATCCTGTGCCAACAGAACTACTAAGGGCTATGCAAAATTATTTGTCAGCTCTTTGAAATACCTTTCCTTTTCTGGATAATAAAAACACCATTTCTTCAGCAACTTCTACTTCTCCATCTTTAAACAGTTGTGTGAATCAGGTTATTCACCTATGACTACAACTGAGTCCTACCTACAAGTGTGTGGTTCCACAAAGAAGTATTTCTGCATTATAATTTAACTTCCCTGGATGTAAAAAGTGTGTGTTTTTTAAAAGTCTTTTCAACACTTGTCAGTATGTGAACATACTAATGCAATCCTTTGCAATCAACAGGAATTTATTAAAGCACCTTGATGTCAAACCAACTTTTTTTATAGCTTGTGCAACAAGAAGTGATGACTTCTTCATTTACAGAAGCCAAATAATGCTCACAGACTATAGACCAGAGGCAAATCTTCATAGTCTCTTTATCACACAAGACTTTAAAAGACTTGGGTGCAAAGTAGCTTAAAGGCAATGCCATTTTCTGAACCTACAGTGTTTATGCTAAAAGTGCAATAGGATACTTATAGGAAATGCAAATGCCTGTTAAACCATAAGTGACAACCTTAACGAGGGACTGTTATGCATACAGCACGAAAAGTAATTTAACTTAATACCTCCAGTTCAGGTTTCAGCCTTGAGTACTCTGCATATTCTTCTGTTTGTGCCTAACAATGTTGAACGGCATTTGATACTTTTGGGATCATTACAGCATCAACTCTCCCATCTTGGCCAACTGCAAATTAAATTCTCTGTAGCTGTTTCCTCTGTGGTCCCAAATGGATGAAATTGTTGCACAGCTGAGTAAGGCTAGGGGCCAGTTATATCCAAAAATTGAAAACTGCTTTGGCAATTTCAGCCTTGGTGTCTCCAAAGGAGACAGGGAAGGAGGGCCTTGGTGTGGAGTGTGGGACCACAACTGCCATAGTGGTGACAACATCTGCTAGTGCCCATGAAGTGTCAGGCTCACTCCTAACATAGAAAGACACTTCAAAAATATGGCACTTTAGGGTGGAACCCTTCCCATTTTTCTCTTTCTATAAGCACAGCCTGGAGGCTACAGCTGCCTGCACACTGGTGTGAGCTGTGGGCCATCTCTGGTTCCACCTTGTTCATAGGGCAGTTCAGAAATGCCCCAGGGCTGAAGCTGAATGCAGAAATCCATACACCCAGCCAGTGTCTTTGGCACCAGTTACAGTCATGCTGGCCCTACAAATCTTAAAATCGTTTCCAACCTTGTGAGGTGAAAAGCAGCACTGGGGATGCCCTGAGGATATGGAGTGCTGGGGAAAGTAAAACAGCTCTGGTCTTTCTCAGGCCAGGAGTTGTTGAGACCATATGTCTTACTTCCCATTCCAGTGACTGTGTTTTGATGTCCAAAAGTAGGCATAACCCTCCAACTTGTTGCTCATCCATGTTTCAAAGCACCAATGAGCCCCAGCCCACCTTATGGAGAGAACACCATCTCCTGTATACTTTGCAAACAAACCAAGAGGGTTTTAGGATCTACCATTCTCCAAACCCCTTTGTACTGGCAGCCCAGTGATGGTGATACCTGTCTTAGTCTGTAGTGGTGGGACTGGGACTTGAGAGGCCTGTTTTCTGCAAAGGCTTTGTGGGGAGCCTGACAGCTCAGACCAGCAGCTCTGTTGGCCACTGCATGGCCAGAGAACTGGCAGCAACTTCTGCCCCTGAATATCAGCATCCTCTGTAGGTTCTCTGGGCCAGTCGGGCAAACAGGTTGAAAAGGCTCTGGTTCCAATTAGTCACACAGGGAACACAAACAGAGGCATCAAAATGTCCTTCACAGGCAGAATGGCTGTGAAATAGTTTGTACAGGCATAACTAACTGAACTTTCACATCACAAATACGACCCAGGAACAAGTCACTATTTTTCAGGGGTACATCTAGTCTTTGCATTTACTTACAGCCATGCAAACTGCCTAACAGTGAAAAGCACACTCTGGCAGAGACAGGAATGATATCCATCCTGGATGTCAAATACAGATGTCACAAAACCCCAGAATGGTTTTTGTTGGAAGGGACCTTAAAGACCATCTAGTTCCAACCCCTCTGCCATGGCCAGGGACACCTTGCACTGAGCACGTTGCTCAGAGCTCAACAACCGTTTTCTCAACAGCAACACCTCCCTCCAGCCCACCAGCAACAGACTCCAGCGTTTCCACTGGCTTCTGCCCACCAAATGCCAGTCCTCCTAAGGAAAATGTACCCTGAAAGAGGTGGGTGTCAGTGGCTTGTCTGTCAGCAGTTTATCAGGGTGAAAACAAACAGGGAAATTCTTCAGGTCCAGGAGGAGAATGGAGGAAACCCAAGATTCACATTAGTTTTAGAAGTGCTGGGGGACTCCTCGTTAGGAAAACAACAGACCAGTCAGCCTGGGGTAGGGCTGCAGATCTGGGACTCAAACTGAACAGGTAGGAGGTACACTCAATAGGCTGACCGGGAAACTGCTCCCCACATAGAAATCAAATCTTCCCTGGAATCAACTAGATGTAGTCATGGCTGACTGGAGCTGATGTTTCTAATATTTTTATTTATTTTTTTTTTAATTAGATTATCGTTGCTTTTCCTTCTCTGGATTTGTTCTGTGTTTTGTTTTACTTGTGTGACTTTTGCCATTATACAAACTCAAAACAACAATTTCTTCTTTTGTCTTATGCTCAGCATACTGTGCAACTCACTTCACTGGGACCACAGAGCTCCAAATTGATGAGACAGGCACGAACAAGAAAATGAGGACAAGAGCAACCCCACTGTGTTTGCTTCAAGCCCTGTCACCAGAGCTGCTCTGCTAAAAAGTGACCTAGAACTGCAGGTTAGGACCAAACTGTGGTTTCCAATTTTAGAAAGGAAAAGCCTTTATAAAGCAGGTGCCAAGATCTTGAACCTATTAGCTGGTTTTCTATTGCCTTTCTGGGCATGGTTGAAATTTCTGTCATTAAAAGTGTTTTTTTATTTGGAGGTGGTGGTGGGAGAAGTATCTTTTTTTAAATTTTTAACACTAAAACAAAAATCCCAAGCCTGGTCCTGGTCCCCTTCATTATCCAAACCCAAACTCGTTATCTCTCTCTCACTTGAAGTGAGTATATATATTCTATGCATGCTAAAATAATCAGGGGCCAATTTTTAAGTACTAAAAGAAGTTTTACAGTTATGTTACATTTGACTGAAAGGAGAAAAAACAAGTATTACAGTAAGAAAATGCTTCAGAGGAGCTAGCAAAGGACTGTAGCAGGCTGGAGCCCCTCACATGTCCTCCTCAGTAATTTCTTCACTCTATTATCACTCACTGTTTTCTGTCACTTCACTTTTTGTGTTCTCTGTTATTTAAGTTAATGCTTCCTTACCAGCCCTTCCCCAAAAGTAAACACAAGCATATCATTGTAGAATTAGCACATAGTGGTGGTCTTGCAAGTTTTACATACCATGTATGCATATGAACAGAGCAGTACTTGTGTAGAGGGAAATTGCTGTTATGAAAGGCACTGATACAGCTGGCAAAGGAGGTTTTTGAAATATGGGTCCATCTGAAATTTAACACATCACTAAAACTCTGGTGGCATTTCCTACCAAGATATACTTCAGGTATTTGTTTGCAATACCTCTTCCCTCCCCTTGGGTCTGTCCACACTGTCTGCCAGTGTGTCAGGCCAAGGCCTCGAGGCCAATTCCTGGACAGGACTGTGGTCCTGCACACTAATGAACATTACTAAGCCTGTTAAGTTGGTGCAGGTGTTCATGGGTGAAAAGCTATTGCAGTTTGACCCACCTGGTGGTGTGTTGCATTGGACAAGCACAAATCAATTCTAATGCATTTCTAGCTGCATGGGAAAAAAAATCACAAAGTTGTTTTTTTCAAATGACTGCTTCTCACACAAGTTTTTCCATCAAGGACTTAAAACCACACTCATAGCCTTTGTGTAAGCAGTTCCTATTAACCAAGCTACAAACATGGAAGTGCAGAAAAAATTGAACAAGTAGACAGGACAGAAAAGTTGAATGAGCATTGGCTCTTCTTATTTTAATGAAGAAATATTTCAAGTTAATATCAGTGCATATTTAGAAATAGCATGTGATACTCCCAATGCCAAATACAACAGCAAATTACAGTTTCAAAACTTTATGAATGAATGGCAAGAAAAAAAAAGATTAACAGAGAGAATAAGGTTCAAAATAAACATCCTGTTTGTTTGCTGCACTGTGTCAATTATATTCCTGGTACTTACACAGCAAGAGTGATCCAGTATTTCATGGTAATTAGGCTCTCCAAAATAGCAGTTATTTTCCTACAAATGAATTAAGCGGTTTGCATTTATTTTTGATGTATAATTAAATGTTATTCTTAGCTGTTACAAAGAAATTTAGTCATGTCAGAGTAAAATTTCATTCCATGACTGAAAAAATCACACTAACATAGGAACACTGCCTTCTGGTTATACCCACTGGTAACAGTCAGCTGAGAATAGGAAGAACTACGTGTAAGCACATTTGGCTGTTACATAAAATGGCTTTTTTTTTTCTGTTTCACAGCCTCATAACAATACTGTTTTTCAACATTGTTCCCAGTCATTGTTTTTAAAATGGTTCATCAACATATCCTGAATCAATCACCGATATAAATAACTCCAGTGACAAAATCCATTATGAAAGGACACAGAACTTCAAACTGAAAGTTGTACTGACTGATTTTAAGGTGGAACTGTAATAACTGTAATTACTCTATAAGGTAAAAAAAAAAAAAGAAAAACACACAGTAAAAGCCGTATCTTTAATTAACTGGCAATGATGGAATCTGAAAAACTGAGATGTAATTTTAAGAGATGTCTAATTCACAATGGACTCTAAAGCAAGACAAATCATACTGAAGCTAGAGAGAGATGCACATTTAAAGCTTGCAAGTGTTATACAAAAATATTTTCTAGTTCTTTCATTTTGATACAAGGAGTCCAATTCCCTAATGGAAGAAGATAAAATACATCCTCTTTCCTACCCCACTGCTGTACATATAGACTGTTCCCTGGATATCAGGAAATGGCTTTTCCCCAACAAAAATACCAGCCTTGGGAATCGCAGACTTTCTGATAGTCAGGGTTTGTTGATTTTGCTTTTTAAAGTATACTTCCAAGCAGGTGAAATACTGACAGGATATGCATTTTGTTCACTACTAGTCTACTGTGCAAATCATATACATTGACCCTGTAACTTCAATCCAGCTGCAGTCTGCATCACCTAGAATGACTATGAATCTTACTGTGATACTACAGCATGGAGATGACTGCCAGGTTATGAAATATCAGGCTAAATCAGATTAGTGGGAAAGGCACATGCTTGGGATTTAGCAGGAACACCTGAAGGTTCCTCGTTACCGTACCCTCACGCTCCTGGAGTTACAATAATTCTGTGCACTACCCAAACAACAAAGTTTGCTTCCAGAAAATTGTGAGGTAACAGGAAACTTCTGCTTATGGCACGTACACATGAAAGGTCTGTGAGTTCAGCTGAAACACTTGAGGTGGTAGGGATAACAGACACAAGGGAGGCTACAGTCTGGTTAGGCCAGAAACAAAAACTAAACATTTTGTTATACCACATACATTCCTTTTATGCACAAACACAAGGTGCGCAAAATAAACTGTTTGCTCAGTACAATTTAATGTTTTGCATATGTAAAATAATCACCTAATACTGCAATATAAACAAAAATCATGCACTAGATAAACAGAGCTGCTTCCCCATGAACAGTAGTTCTCAGGAACATTTTATTCTGCTTCAGGTAACATCTCATAATTTGCTAACTTACGCAGTCCCTTTTAAAGAACACAGTATTTAGCTAGAACTGAAGAGCAAAATTAAAAAAAAAAAGTTTTGATTTTATTTGTGGTACAGCTGGGACAGATGCAACTGAGCTGCTGCAATGCACGAAAGAACAACGAAAATTCAACATGAATATCAGAAGAATAAATATATACCCTAAATTAAGCTCTGTAAATACATTCACAGGTCCACTTAAGACACCCTTATGCATAATTCATACTTCTTCAAATCTGCAGAGAGAGATGGATGTTAGTTCATGGGGAAAGCAATTTATCACATGACTCGGTTTATCTGTCATTATTCCAGCAAAAATCAGTAGCAAATCTGAAAATCTACATTACTTTTCCCCAGACCAACCACACAGAGGCTTAAGTCACAAAATCTATTATTTCCAATATTTGACCAATAAGGCTTTATTTACACTTTTTTTTCTATAATGTCAGGAAAAGGTTTGGTGCAATGTACAAGAAAAGACTGCACATTTCACCGACTGGAGACTAACATCTGCTTATGGTTTAATGCTAACCCAGAGGCAGCCAATTAAAGTCCCATATATCCATGTTTTTACATAAAGTTTCCTTCCAGATTCTGTCAGAAGCATACTAGCAGTCAGGCCACCTAAAAACAGCAAAGATGGCAAAGTTTTCTTGAGGCTTAGTTTGGAATGAACACTTTTTCCAGGGAACTTATTTCTTCTTTTAGAATCCTTCGCATCATAAAATTCTATTAGTAACCTAAAAGCAGAGAAAAGGAGATGGTTAAAGTCATACAGGAGTGTAAGACATTTTAAGCAACTTACTTTCCTCCAGTAACTGCTTCTAATCACACATTATTTAACAATGATCTCACCATGTGTAGCAGCTGATCTGTAGCAAGTTGAAACAATGAGTACACCTTATGAACATGTTGCATGTCAGGGTACTCAACCTAAATGCTTGTAAGCAATAGAGGTATATTTTCCTTGGGGACTAATTTTAACAGTGAACATAAAAATTTAAAAGAATCCTTTTCATTCAGCATTTAGCATAAAAGCCCATAGCACTGAGCAGTAGTGTAGGACAAAACAACACACAGATAAACACTGAACACCAAAGGAAGAGGAAAAAACATCTTCATAAAATAAACTAATAAATAACAAGGGCTCACAAGACGCTAAATACATCGGAAGCTAAATGTGCAGGAGTAAGATGTGACACTACTCATTTAGTGGTAACTTTTTTCCGCCTACTTTTAAAAACCTTTAATAAATGGATCTGGAAATTCTGGGGTTTTAACTATCTCTAAATTTGCCTGACAGATTCCTTTGGTCCCAGGAAAGATGTTCCAGTGAACAAGAGCCTACAACGAGACAGAGATAACCAGGGTTCAGTTTTGCTTGTCTTCACCAGACAACTAAAGGGACAGACACTGGGCAGTCTTTTATTTTATGTATCACTTCCTTGTCTATATAAATTAAATCCAGACTTTCTTCCTTTCTAAAGTGAAGAAAAGGTTTTTAGTGATCTTAAATGTCTAAGACACTTTAGTAACAGTGCCATACTTACAGACAGTCATGTTAACTTTTACATGAATTCAAAGTTCACAGGAGAAATGAATACATTTTTTACTTCCATGGAGTGTGAGACTGGCAGAACAATTTTAAAGCAGAACATAACTGAAGAATCGGGGAAATTTCTGTCTCACATAAAGTATTCAAGGATTTAGAAAGTAAAGAGATGCAGCTCCTTAAGTTGGACTTAATGGCAAATAAAACCATAATCTCTCAATCAATATTTAAATCCTACATTGAGGTACAAGATCCTTCCAGAGAACAAGGTCCCCTAGGATCTGCTGCATATGCTCACTAGTGAGCTTATCTGGAGATGCTGGAGGGAGCCAGGCACTTTAGTTCTGCCACAATCAAAAAATGGAAAAATGAAACTTCTACTTCACCTCGTTTCCCTACTGAAGGTAGGGATTTTGGGGTTAATTGTGTTTTTATCCAGTTGATGTCTGGATGAAAAACATGTAAACAATTTTGGCAGAAGAGATTAGATCAAGACCTGCCTTTAACTCCAACTTAAAACTGACTAAAAGGACAGAACCACACTGCTTTTTTTTTGCTTGCCTACCACAGGCATCTTACATTCTTGGCTGTACAGGACTCAACTACAAGCAGATAAACGGAGAGTATTCAAATTAATATGAGTCTTGCCTAGAACACAGACTCACACTTCTTCAATCTAAGGAAGGTCAAAACCACAGGAATCCCAACCTCCTGAGCAAAAGGTTTAAGCAGAAGGTACTGATATGCACAGGAATACCAACATCACCCTCTCTTCAGAGAGCCTTAAAGCTGGTACTGCTGGTAACACAGAAATCAAGGGTGTATCTGTTAATACAAAAGAAGACAGATTGTTGAAACAGGAAGTTCTACATATTTCTACTCACTTATCCTTTATTTCAAAACGTTCATGAAGCCACCTTCTCATATACATCTGCTCTTCTGGAATGTCCTTCAGCTCAATTCGGTCAATGAAAATATGAACTCTTGGGCATTCCTTACAAAGAAACTCTAAAAAGAGAGCAAAAAACCAGAACTGAGTCACAAAAACACTGTAGGGCATTTATTTGTCTAAAATACACCAAAAAAATTGGTCTGTGCATGCCTTGGAAGCCTAACTTCAGTGCTCAAAAGCCTCCCCTCCTTACATTCAGATCCTGAGCACTTCGCTGAACTTAGAAACCACCTGGCCTACACACTTCAAATAGTGGACTATTGTAGGAACAGGTGTTCAGCGAAAGGCCACAGAGATCATGTGCAACATGGAAGAATTGTCCTAAAATGCACCCTGCTAACTGTAAAATGCTGTGCTTGAAAACATTATGCTCTACCTCAGCAGCAATCTACTCATTCAGTAGTGTGGGATGCAGTAACTTTGATACTGTAGTTATCCATCCCGCAATCTTGTTAGCAGTCCTCTTTGCTTGTCCTTTTTAAAATCTAAATTTTGTTTCCTCCTGGATTGGAATTACAGTGATTTCCCAAAGCATCTCCAGAAGAAATATGCTTCAGTTTAAGCAATAATCTATAATTACAAAGTATAAGAGGGCGAAAGACTCAGAACAAAATGATGCTTTCCATTTTTTATCCCTTCATTTTTCTTCTGTCTTACAAAGCTTGAGACAGCCCTATTGCAATTCCCCTCCCCCATTTCCTCAATTTGTCCCTAGAAAAATTTACCAAGCAAGCATTAATGAAAAACAAAACCCCATTACTCAAATAGCCTTGTGGGATTTCTTACAACTAATAAGTGGTAAAAATACTGTGCATGACTATTGTGATATACTGCACATTGTAAAATACTATGCTTATTGTAACCACTGTGAAATCCTGTGCAGTGTGTATTGGTAACCATCTGCATTTACCAGGAGCAAGGGGTGCTGCAGTAACCATGACATCTCTGTACAGAGAGATGCATGATGTGAGGATGGAAGTCTTCAGAAATTTGGACTCTTTTCATATTTTGGAAATGGACCAGAAGTGCCTTCCTACAATACAGACAAGCAACAAATGTAACACAGAGAGGGTGGTCCCTTTAGGTTGTTGACATATTTGGACAGCAGTGCAGAAGTACAGAAGACTTTGACCCGTAACTGTTAGGGGTATCTTGAGGAATGAATGTGCAAAATAATTGCTGCAGCATGTACATCTTTATTGTTGTCTGCCAAAGCAGATATCTCTGTATTTATTTTTCATCTTTACAGGATTACTGATTTGGAAGGACTTTGCTGTAAAAGCAGTCCTTATCATATACTAGAAATTGCCTTAAGGAATTTTAAAAGCCTGTTCATGCAAGTGTATATGTGCGCTTGCAGAGGGGGAGGGAAGGAGAAGAGAGAAAGAGATCACTGAAGTCTTAGGGCAGTCTGATGCACAAATCTGTAAGGTGCTGTGTGTGGTTCTGTCTAGAGTTCATGCAAAGAGAGCCCTTCACCAAACTGCACCATAATATAAAGGGAGCAACACAGCCCCGCACTATCAGCTGGAGAAATGGCTGAGGGCTCCCAGCAGGCACAAGTCAACCTCAGCCATGCAGCAGCCAACACAGATGGCACCAGAAGGTTCCTGGCAGAACCTTCTCCTAGCTACAGCTATTAGATGACAGGCAAGCTAAGCACTTGGAGTCCGGAATGGCGGTACATGTAGACATTTTCTTCAGGTTTATGTGCAATGCTTTTACTAACCACACAGAAATCAGAGTTCCTTTATCTAAAAGCAAGTTTTTCCTCTTGCTTTAATGAGAAGAAAGGATTTTCCAGGCCTGTTTCTCCAAGGATACTATCCAGGCCCCTACATGAAGGTCATTGACTATATGATCACCTAAAAGCATACTATTAATATTTTAAAATGACAGATGTATTATCCATGTCTTAAATGCTTATGATGTTCACTGTTGTATAAATCCTCTTTTGAATGGCATTACTACTAAGTGGAACATTCTAACAACATGCAAAACTGTATCTAGAAAACAAATGCCTGGAAGCCAGATGATATAGACTCCTATAAAAAGCATCTATGGTATGCATATTCAGCTAGAGCTCAAGATCCAGCTTTAAAAGATATTTGAAACATTCTGTGCATTTTCTACTGTATGTTTCTTTTGCTTCATAGCACGTAGGTTGCTCTGCATAGGAACAAACAAGTCTTTACTGATGTTACTTATAACCTCAGTTATAAATTATTAAGGGAAATTATAAGCCAATCAAAATTCAAGACATAAGTATTTCAAAAGAAACACCTTACCCCCGCCCCAAACTGAAATGTAGCGATTCTACAAATCTGCTTGGACAGTCAAAAAACTCCACAAATACCTGAGAGTTGCTGCTCGCTTTCTACCTTGTGCCCAAGTTCCAATAGAAGTTGATTCTTACCACTTCCCACTCTGGTCTTCTTCAAACAGTCTAAATTGAGTCCCTATATGTGAAGATCCTAAAAATTTGTCATAATTTCCCACCTTTGTAAATCCCAATGCTTTCTTCCACGGCCTTACTCTCCCTTGCAGTTTGAGCTTTGTACAACCTCACTGAAGGCTGTGAGATCTGCTACTGCAGGTGCTCCCCTGGAGAGGGTCATGATTCCCACACATCGATTCAAGGCCCTTCTATCCAAAGTCTGGGCAACCAGGACATCTGCAGATAATACTGTAATGCATGCAATCAAGCACATCTGACTAATCTTTAATTATCCAATTCATATCAGGGTTTAATGCAACTAATCCAACTTTTTTCCCCAATCTACAATGTCACTGCAATCACATAAGAACACCAGTGGATAAGGACAATATATTGAGGTCGATTTTGAGAAGAAACAGCTGGATTTTATCACCACAACCTCTAAAGGTTAGTGGTGGTCCCATGATTCCTAATTTCACATTAGCTTAACTCCCCAAAGACTTATGCAATTAAGCTAAGAAACAAAATCTTATTGAAGCAATTTATTACGTTCAAATTACATCTAACTTCAGGGACACTAGCCCTTAAGGCCAACATCTGACAGGCTTTTCAGACTCCTAAATTTGCCAGGATTTGTTATAATTAACAGCAGGAACAAGCAAGCCTGAACTTTCCTCCAAGAGACAAACCATGAGTGCAAACCATGCATTACATGCAAACATTATGTTGGGGACAGCATTAGCCAATCAATAACTGTGTACCAATTGGGTTAAATGAACGCTAACAACTTGTGTGGGAGCCAAGTGGATTGACTTTCGTGTAGGAGATAATTTCCTAATAAAACTTTCTATCTGGCTAAATAACAGATACAAGCACAGAATGTTTATAATGCTTCTAGTGGCCAACCACAGCAGAAGGAAGGAACTGAAAATAATAAGGTGGATTGAGCATTTTTTTCCCTTAAACTGTGACACTGTGTCCTTCCCTCTGTGGGACAGGTTTCACACTAACACAGGGCTGAAGGATTCAGTGCAGAATTAGGATTAATGAATGAGGTGCAGCAGTCTCCTGTAAAGGAACTGGATTCACAAGATTTTTAATTGCAAACCAATGTTTGGAGCTTCCACAAAATTCTAACAGTTCTCACCTTCAAAAACTCCTCACCTTCAAAAGCCTCTTAATTCTGTTTAGAATTACCAGCATTACCAGGGAAATGGAGGGAAAAGAGAAGCTCCAAAGCATAGACCTATCTTAACTGAGAAGGGACATAAAAATGGCCTCAGACCACCTTCCCCTTAATACTACCACAGAGGTTCATTCCACCGCTCCAAACTATTTGCCTTGCCCCTTAAGAAAGTTGTGACAGTGGTATTACACTTAAGCAGATACTCCAGTTTTCAATTACTAATGAGGTCTATTTTTATATGCACTTTAAATACGACGGCAGTAAAGTAGCTCAGATTTCAACCTCCTACACTGGCTCTTTTACTGCAATGTAATTATTGCCAAAGTCCTTCAAAATTAAGAAAGGACAAACTGAAGCCTGACATCATCATGGTCACTTAAAGAGTCCACAATTCTCTCCTGTTTTAACAGATTTCAGTAATGTTTGTGATAA